ATATTATTATTATTATAATATTATTATTATTATAATATTATTATTATAATATTATTATTATTATAATATTATTATTATTATAATATTATTATTATTATAATATTATTATTATAATATTATTATTATTATAATATTATTATTATAATATTATTATTATTAATTATTATTGTTTATTATTATTATTTATGTTCTATGTTACTTTATTTCTTGAATTTTTTATTTTCTCCTGATTTCGCTTCTTTTCCCTGAAGATTATGTCCTTATTATTTTTTATTATATTTCAGATCTGATAACGGTGTAGTGCTTTGTTTACTGACTTTAAATGAATTTGTAATGAAGTCATTAAAGGAATGTTCATCAACAATTCAGGAAACTATGATTTTAAGAAATTTGCTTGATTATGTGGTTGGAATTAAATGCAAGTGAGCTCTAATTTTTTCAGAAATTCTGTTTGATGGATTTGTGCGATATTATTAAATTTTTTGGTTCTTTTCATTTAGTTTTTTTTGGATTTCGAAATTTATAATTATATCCACTTTCATTCCATCGTTTCAAAATGACAGGCAAAGTAAAAGAGTAATGAATATTTTTGATATTGTTAATAAGTATTATTATTGGTTCAACTTATTTAAATCATTAACCGCTGAAGTGGGTCATTTACTTAGAGTAAATTAAGTAAATGACAATCCAGCGGTTACATTTTTCCCTTTTATTTAGCTTTATTGCTAGCGCATGATGAACCAAATATGGAGAACGATCTCGCATCGAACTCACACTTGTTGTGTCAAAGTTCTGCAAATCCCTCATTGAATTAACCAATTTTAGATATGTACAAGACGAGGCAGCCTTCCTTTTCGTAATCCATACTTTGCAAGAGCTAATTATCAGACAGTATAATTTCTCTCTTCGGCAAGCGAATGATTTTCTTTCACGGTATATTGAATGGCTTTTGGCAGTACGCAGTGATGATAAACAAACTTCATTGTTATCGATAATCGGGTTATCTAAAAAACAAACATTTCCACTAAGGTTCTTTTATTATTTTTTCGAAATATAGTTTATTTCATTGTATGGGAAGTGATGATAATTTAGAAAATATTTAGAAAAAATTGAGTGGAGCTCGGTTCTTTCTTATCTTTAGCGAAATTATTTTTTTTTATCCAGCTTATTTTTTTCAGTAATATCCAGGAAATATATATAAAAGTCAATATTTTATCTTTATTGCTCTTTCTTTTTCTTTAAAATTTAAATTTTGGAAATCATTTAAATTTAAAAAATTTTTTTAAATTACCAAATTATTTAAATTTTTCAGATTTCGATTTGTTTGTCATATAATGGAACTTTATCTTTCTCAACAAATCATTTCTACTGATCATTCTCCACGTACCACAGTAAATGCACCTGTTATAAATAGTCGTATCCATGCATTTCGAGAATTGAGTCTCAATAAGAATTATTCGCCATATCAGGGCGTTTTATCGCTCGCAGAAGTTTTTTTCACGAATGTGAGTACATACAATTTTCTACATGCTAATGATTTGCTAAAAAATATTTCTATTGCATTATATCAAGAAAGATTTTTTCGATGTGAATAATTATAATTTAATCGAATTTTTTGATCACAAAATTCCATATTATCCAAACGATTTTTACTTATGGATCAGTATCAGTGCTATAATGATCTAATAAAATAAGTATATCAGTGCTATAATAATTTTCTAATAAAGTAATGGACTTTTATGAATTTTTATAATACAAACAAATTAAATAAAATGACAAGGTCATTTTTATATTAGTTTGAAATTTTTCGTATTATTGTTGTTATCGTTTTCAATTTTGTTTTTGATGTTTTATTTTTATTTATCAGTTATTTTTTTCACTTTATTTATTTCTATAGAGATATCAAGTTGGGAAACAGCACTGATATTGATAACTACGAACTGAAGATTTTTATATTGGAATTCAAATGAAAATTAGAGTTAAGATAAATGAAATGACGATAAGATTGGATCATTGATTTTCCAAAAAATTATTCGCTTTTAGATATGTGTGGTCACCTTTTCTTAAGGGTTTTTACATTTTTTATTTCATTATTTTTACTGTTATATATTAATTATTTATTTTACTCATGCAGTTGTGTTCCAGTACATAAAGCTTACAGATTGTTATAATAAAAATAATAAAAATTTCATGAAAAAACTCCCACTGCTTAGCAATTATCTATTTGTCCTGGAATGTAGATTATCGGCTGATGTTTAAACTGGAAAAAATATTTTCTCTGAGCGCTTTGATTAAATTTGCAACATTGCTGTGTTTATTCATTCTTTTTATGTCAAAGAAGCGTTGCATATTTGATTACCCAAATTTATTGGAAATTAATTAATTTATAAAATTCTGAAGTTCTGATAAAAATTTCCAGTAATATATTTCTTAGGTTGAAAAGTATTTTGACAAAGCTTTACTAATTTGTTCTCTTGTAGGAGTTTAACTGAGCCAGATTTCAAAATTTTTGTGTTGACTTTAACGTAGATTGAACAGTAAATTGGACAAAATTGAACGAAGCAAAGTAGACTCGGGGCAGTGCAATTTTTCAAATCTCTTTAAGGTCAAAGAATCTGTCATTCTGTCATTTCTCAAAGCGGTCATCCGTCCTTTTGTACTGGAATCAAACCAGAAAAAGAAGAAAGAAAATAAATCACTTAAGCGTTTCGACACAAAAAAAGCTCCATATGGCAGGAATTAAGCTTACAAGAAATTATAGCAATTAAGCAGCTAATTCAGCCAAAACCACATAAAAATATATGCCAACTATTTGAGGAAAAAATTTTTTCAGATGATCTCGGGGATATTTCAAATAAGGCGGTATTTTACAAATTTAATTTGGAATGATATTTATGGCATTTAAAGTCGGATTCATGAAGTGTTTCAATTCTAAATGAGTTTATCTTATAAATTCGATTATTTTCACAGAAAAAATTTGCAAAGATATTGGTAAAAATATGCAAAAGCACGGTGTTTGCAGTTCGATCAGCGAGTGCATGTACATGGGAAAATAATAAATAAATACGGTATTTAATATCACTGCTTGCCTTTCAATCAAAATTTAATCAACTTTCTATGTTTTTATTGGCCTAAATGGTAAAACCATTCCAATATGTTGTAAAATCTCTCAAGGATGCTGGGAGGCAAGCAAATGTGCAACTGCATATTTTTTTGCAATCGTTTCATTTTTACGATCGATAGATATCATTTGAATTTGCTTTATAGGAGGCGGCTTTTCTGTAATTAATTTGTGTCAGTCCAGTAATTTAAGAATTGGGCGAAAAAGGAGAAGTTGGGGACATTTTGGCATTTTCTCAATGATATATCTATATGGATTTAATAGTAAGGAAGTGAGAATTTATAAGTAGTTTCGAGCAGTTTTGCTTCATTGCAATCCAATATGTAATTTTTTTAGTAAAACGCTTCCGAATTTATTATTTTATTAAGCACTTTTTTAGAAAAATCACTAACTGGAAAATTCAATATTGCGTATATTGCGTATTTTATGTGGTTTCGATACCATTTTTTCAACTTAAATCTATTGGGTAATTCGCATTTACTGTTCGGATTTTTCAATATCAAAGGCCTGGTATCGTTGCTTGATGGAATTTATTCCGAATGCGGCTGAAATTTCACCTCTTCTATCCCCAAGGATCCAAGCGATTCTTTGACGGAAGACTCTTATAAGCTTTATAAACAAGGAATCGTTCACCTATAGTGATTTATTTCCTTCTTTCTTTTTGTGCTTTATATCACTTTTAAATTGAGATAAGTAAATTTATATCATATTTGTTACTGTTAACTATTATTCTTTCCAGAATCTCTCATTTATCACCAATTATTATTGCAACTTCCCTTTTCTTAAATCATCGTGATTTATTATCCTGAAAAACTTATCTAAAGAATTTACGAAAATTATCTTTAAGTATGGGAAGAAATTTCATATGCGCCAAATTCACTGCGCGCATCGAGTCGATTTTACTTTATGTAGCAACAGCAAGCAGTATTGGTCTCATTGGATATGTTACTTTAACCAGATTTCTTGGTCAAATTGATGAAGAACGCGTTGACACCACTCACAGAATTTGCGAACAAGAGGCCATTATTGATAAGAATAGCGAAAAAAAAGTTGAGGCCATCCATGATAATATTGATGAAGAAGACGTTGAACCCATTCATGACCAAGTTGATGAAAAAAGCATTGAAGCCCAGGTAAATGTTTTTTAAGGAAGAAATTGATCACAAGAATATCGATCTATTCTGTATTTATATCTTTTTGGTTTATAGGGTGAAGATTCGACCAGCGAACATGATAATATTCAAGGTGATTTATAATTATTATTCTATATTTCCATTATTTTCCAGCTATTCTATCGTACTAACTTAAATTAGAGATAATCGAGTGGTGGCTATTCGAATTGCTGTTTGATCCTTCCTCATAATAAAGGTCTTATTGAAAAATCTAAGTAATACTGTGGAGCAGCCAAAATTTTTATCACCATGTAACCTCTTAACAAAAATTTCTTATCGTATTATTGCTTCTTCTCGCCTGAAATGATAATGATTTATGGTTTCATTTATGATTTTCGTTCAGATATTCTTTTTCTCTACCATTATAAAATATAAATTAAAAAATTTCCATATGGCATAAGAATATTATTCAGAATCTACTGTATACGAAAATGCGACTGAAGAAAGCAAGAAAATTATTCAGACCTATTCCTTTAGATCATTGATCGGTTATGATATCCTATGCTTTCCGCAGAAATTTAATTTAAAAGGTAATTTCCCAACCATATATCCTCCATAAATGCGCAATTTCATTCTCAGTTAGTTATCTAAATTATTTGATTACTATCAGCAATAATTTCATTTCTTGAGATATTTTTTGATTCGATGTCATGCAAGCATAGAATATATGAAGTCGCTCTGTTTCACTTCACTCTGTTTTGGATTTAATTTATTTCAGGTTTTGAAACTGGCGTTAGTAAGAATATGTATTCAAGGTCTACTTTTTTTATTTCTTTATTTATTTTTCAACGATTTAGTGGTTAAGCAAATGGTTAGCCTATTTTTGGCTAAACCTACTTTTTTTGGTGAGAGATTGTTGCTAAGGAGTCACTAGAGGGTATAAATGAATTACCAGCACCACCCGCTGTAAGTGGCTCCATATCATTTTCTATTTTTCACCACATATTTTCTTTCTTGGACAAGATTCCTTTGGAATTTGAATTTCATTGCAAAAACAAATGTTTTAAATTCATCAACATCACTACAGAATAAATAGCCAATTCAGCTAGGTATTTTTTAAAATTTTATCAAATTTTTCATTTGGACCTAAATACTTTTGAATTATTCTAAAAAATAATTTTAAAAAAAATTAAATTTGTTTGACTCTTTGTTTTACATTTTTTATGTCCATATATCTTCTTTGAAATATTTTTCTTCGATTATTTAATTTTCGAATTAAATTGAGTGGTACTTTTCAAGTCTTTAAAATACAACATTAATTTCAGGCGTTACTTAACTCATCAGGTTTCCTTGCCACACAAGATAACTTATGAAAATTCTTTTCAACACTGGATGAGCTCTGGAATTGAATTTATTTATGCGCCAAATTGTTTAGTTAGTTGTTGCTTATATACATAATATAAATTTATTCAAAATTCATTTTTGAATTTTTTTCGCCTAATATTTCTAAAATTAATTTCGGTTTAGATTGAATTAATTTTTAGATTAAGACAAATTGCGGTTTAGATTTTCCGTTAGAACCATGTGCATTGGCTTTTCTCGATTTATGTGGTGCAAAATTCATAAAAATGGAGATTTTAACACGAATTTTAGCTCGATGTATAAAACTTAAGGTTTGTTTTCTTTGGAAAAATCCTTCGTATAATTTACTTGTTGTATTCAAAGAAAGTTTGATCTTTGTTTTTAAGAAATTAAATATTGTTTCCACTTTTTATTTTTTTAAATTTTTGTAATTTTTTTCGAGAAATTATGGATCATTTCCTATAGCAATAAACATGATTTGCTTTGCAATGGTCCATCTAATTTTCTACTGTTGAATCATTCAAAGCATTTAATTCGATTATTATCTCAAAATAACAACAGATTTAGGGTTTATATTTGGAAATGATCAAATGCGATGAAGCAAGCAAATTTATTGCAGAGAACCAAAATCTGAAGTTTTTGAAATTGAAATATTGTGAGATGAAAGCGAAAGGCTGGGAAACTGTCATCGATAGTTGTCGCCAGTATAATTTGAATTTATTATAAAAATTTGCTATCAATTTATTTATAATTATAACGCGTTTTCTCGCAATTATCATCAGATTATCAAATTTTGGCAATTCTTAAGTGAAAAATTATGATAAACAGTTAATAATATGAAGCCTCACCATTAATTTTATATAGGTTAGAAGAGGCAAACTTTAGCTGGGCGAATATTAATAATGGAACTGCTGGATATATATGCAGCCGAATCGCATCCACCATCATTCGATTAGATCTCTCTGGTTTAAAGCACGTTTTGAGCGATAGAAGTATGTCATTTATTCTTTTTTTAAAATTTCCGTCTACTGGTTTTCTCGGTAAATATCTAAAAAAAATTTTTTTCTCTTAGAACTGTTTTCGATGTTCTTCGAAAACTTCCATAATTTTTTGCGTTTTGATTCGAATTCGAAAAAGGCAAGGCAAAAACGCCGTGTAATGTACTCCTACGACTATGATGATCATGCGGTATAAGATCATTTTTTTGGCAGCAATAAATCTTTCAAGGAAAAATATTGGAGCTTGTGACGCACTTTTGTTTCCATCTCCAGTAATTCTCTGGCAGATATCTTAACAGCGAATGAAGTTAATTAGAAATGGTGAAAGGTTTTAATGGGAGAATGAGAATATTTATAAGATTTCACTGCTTATGGAGAAGATCGTTCAATCTTTTATGCTTTCAATTGGAAAAGTGATTTACCCTTTTCAAATGGAAGTGATTAGTCAATAGTGATTAAACCTCACTCTATTACCCTATTAATTCGTGCTTCATTTTACGCTGCAACACTAAATTACAATTATGAGCTAACTAGAAATTAAAAAAAAATGGTTAACGCTCATATTTCTGATTAGACTCCTCTGGCTGCTAGTGGCGTTGGAAATTTTTGCGAGGAAGCCAATTCGCGAAAGAAATATAGTGAGTCATCGGCACCATCTGGATTTTTTAATGATAAATTTATCAGAGTATGATACGAGCTCCCAGTAAGATAATATGGACCACTATCTGCTTAGGTCTTCTGACCTTATCATTGGACAACGGCTCTACAATAATTATTTATTTGGCAATTTGGCTTATCTTAATATATTATCATTAACATTTCTATAATAATCATTAACATTTATTTTTAATTCACTTCTTGCTAAAATTCGCTTTTTTTCATTTGAGAAGGTTAAATTTAATTTTTAAGATATTTTTGATCTTTGCATGAGCTGTCCGCACTTGATTGAACTCGATCTCAGCGATTCGTTTAGTATAAGCTCGAGTGGTATCGGTTATTTATTAAAATTGAAAACACTGAAACATTTACACCTATCGCATTGTTTTAAATTATATTCATACCATTTCAAGGAGTAAGTTCTTCTTATTACTTTAAAAAATTTTAATTTCTCTATTTTAGCTATAATACTTTAGAAGGTAGCAAGTCTCTAGATCAGGTTTTGTTTTAGCTCATTTTCGTGATTTCGCTGAACTAAACATTTTGTTATACATAATAACAACAATCAGTAGGAAAAAACAAAAAAAATCATATTTGCGATATTACTTACAGGTTTCTAAAAAAGTTGAGCACATTGAACTTGCTCGATTTTCCAAGACTACCAATCTTGTCAGACCAAACGGAATTCATAAATCCGGACGTATGTTCTAAAATATGTGAGCTAAGCATTGCTTTTCCCCATATGCGTATCGACTTACCGCAAGCTTCTCGTCCCATTGATAGAGGAAGAAAACCAAAGAAATCAAATCGTTTAAATCCTTTTCAGAGGTTCTTAAATTAATGGTTTTCAATCAAAAAAGTGAAGAGATTTAAGAAGTAAGTAATTCTAATGCAGTTCATCTCTCTAATATTTTATTACCGAAATTTTAGAATTCGTAGTCAAAGTGCTCCTTGAAGTCCGAATGGCAAACTAAACGAATATGTACGAATATAGGTGGAGTGGATAAAAGATCTCCGATTTTTATATTTTCGCACCATTATTTTAGAAAATCTCTGTAACAGTTCTTTTCAGCAGAAAATCTTTTTTATTTTTCTGAAGTGAGTTGATTGTCAGAAATTCTTCGTTGAGTGGGTTTTATTGCGTTTAATACATTTGCTTATTGGTAGGGTAAATAAATTTTTTTCTAGAACAAGATATAGACTGCAGTTCATGCATAGCATCAATCAAAAAAAGTGATCTTCACAACATCTTCGTAAATATGTGGCTAATGCTTAATATTTATAGATCTGTGTTTCGAAAAAATAAATTGTTCAACTTATATCTGACCACATCTCATCACCTAAATTTTTTTTTATTTCAAAATTTTTGAATTGGTTATCAGTAATTATTAATATTGATTAAATCAAATGTCGGACCAAACTTAAATTAAAATGATGAACATAACAAATAGTGAGTTTATTACTAGTAAATACCACAGTAAAAATGTAGTTCAAGGAATTGACGGTCTAAACTGTTCAATTGGCATAATTGAATGAAATTAGGCCAAGAACTGATGTGATTATGAAGAACTGTAAATATCGTGACCTCGGTTGTCTGAAAATTATCCATGGAAAAATCATTGGAAAAAAATTTTTTTATGGTACTATAGTTTTCAAACAATTTATTAATTTATTATTTTATCGAATTAATTAATTTCGCAAGAAATTCGCTGAGTTCGTTTCATTCCCTGTTAATTTGGCGAGAAATTTTTGCAAAGGATCCATTTTCAGATAGAAATAGAAGTTGATCGCCAGCACCATCTGGGTGGAAGTTATCCATTTTTTAATGACAGATTCATTGTCGGAGGAGAATTGGAATTCTGGTGAAAATTAAGACGACAATCTGAGCAACTTGACCATTCACCCGGAATTATTAGACCAATTTATACCACTACCATTTTTAAAAAATTTACCGATTCATAGGACTGAGCGTTTTTCTTCAATTAAAAGTAATAAAAACCATTCAATGATTAAGGAAATGCTGCGAAAATGCTACGAAAATGAATCGCAGTTTCTTTTCTAGAATTTATTAGTAGAAAATCCAAAAAAATCCTATAGAAGAAAAGCATACACTGGTTTCTTCCAAATCGAACGAATGTTTGAGCCCTTTTTCCGAACCGCACAAATGTTTGTGCCCGCTTATTTAGAGGACGCAACTTTCCTGAAACCTCCTTTGCCACAATTTTATTGCTGTTAATCATCTCTGAAATATTTGTTTACGATGAATTGTTTGAAAAAATTTCTTGTGGAATTCTCCTTTATTTTTTCAATCTATTTGGATATCATTTATTTTGATTATTGCCTAATTACAATTATTTCTGGTGAAAAATTCATGTAAAATATTAGCATTTTAATTTGACCTAAGCAATCAACTGAAGATAGTTAATTACGAATGGCCTATTTTTCATCAGTCTTAAACGGTAAATGGACATAAACAACAATGTCACAACGTAAACGACTTATGAGATACGAATAACCTAATTTCAATAATGAGAAAATGTATTTCTCTATTTTAAATAAGTTAAAATAAATAAGTTTAATAAGTTAAAATGAAGTATAAATAATAGGCATTATTACGATACACAGTTCTAATAGCGAGTCAACTAGGTCAATCAAGCATTATTTCTTATCCTGAATTATCTTCTGCATAAATTTGCTTCTTTGGATAAATCGTATTGAAATTACCAGAGATAAGATCTTGTATGTAATCGCGGTATCGGTCATTGTACTTCGCTAATAACATTTCATTTAGAAATTCATTTTTAGTCTCTGAAAAAAATTACTTCTGTTTGAAAAATTTTTATATAGAAATGCAGTAATTTTGGTAGGCAAAAGAAAAAAAAGATAAAACTCCAGCTGAATATAAAACTAAAAATTATAGGGTCAGAGAAAATTTTCATAATAATGAATAATTCTTCAAATAATTTGATGATTTTAGAAAAATAAAATATTTCAAAATAATTTTTCAACAAATTGTTATAAAAATTGCACTTATAAATCCATGTGAAAGGTAAGGATCCATCTTTGCTTGCACCCTCCAAACTCTTTGATGAAAGAATAGCGTTCTGCTAATCACTAAATGCAACCAAAACCGCAATTTTTAATGGCATTTCTATCCTTAAATGATTCTATGGCGATAAGGCACGTTCCTACGTGAAATCAAGAAAACTCAACCAGCCAAATGGTGCTATTAAAAGAACGAGAACTGTATAATTTTGTTTAATACTATCACTTTAAAAGAATTTAAAGGTCTATTTATTGGCAATATTCTATTCTCATTCAACTGCGAATTAAATAATTGCATCACCGCCAATCTTAAAAACATTTTATTCTAGAACTGGAGAATCTTTTAAAATTAGTTCTAAAATTGTCTGGTGGCCAGAAAACTTACTTACCTTCATCAGGAACTGCGTTGCTTTTTGTTCCAGAAATAGCAGTGTTCGAAATACTCACCAAACAAAAAGACAGGAAAATGATAATCAATGAAGTCATCAATCAACCTTAAATTAAATTACAGTATCAAGATAAAGACTGAAACAAGCGATAATCTCGGATATGCGCAAAATCTTTAAAAAATTTTTTATTTATTCCAATGATAGTAAATAGATAAGAACATGATCGAACGGTTCTCGCCAGAAGTTATGCAAATCCTGTGAATATTTCTTGATTCTGGTATCCGTTCCAGTAATTTGTTGTCATGCTTAGTTTTAAATGACTCGGAAATAAATTGTTAATAATTTTTTAACCATTCTTTTTTGTTGAACTTTATTCGCTCATTTTAATTTGACCTTTTTTTACAACAATATTTCAATATTTCGCCATTTTTTGGTTAATCTTAATGAATGAGAATCCTCTCATTAAATTACCACTTGAAGATAGAAGCACATGCAGATCATTCTGGATGCACATTTTAGATGGTTATAACATCTTCATTTACAATAGCTGTTAATATAAATATAATACAAGAAAATAAGAATTATTGAAGCGTCAAAATTTTACGCGTTTATGCAAAAAAAAGATAATTTCTCAATTAGTGCGAACGAAATTGGAACGAAAGTAAATTTTCCTCTTCATAATATAATTTATTTAGAACACCTAGAAAAAATACGATCTCTTAACTAACGTCAGTCATAAAAAATTGAAAATTTGCTGGCATTCAACACGATAGCTTTGCCAAATCGCTTAAAATCATTTATTAGTAAAATATAGAAAATATTTTTTAATAAAATCGACTTTGCAACTAAAAAAAATAAACGATTATTGATAAGACGAGATGAAAAAATTAATTTCGATAAATATTGCTATTGTATTATTAATATTAAAAAAATTTCAATCAAAGCCTGGAATAAGCTTCTCTAATTGAACGAACTATTGCCCAGCTATCAGTCAAATATATCAGATTGTTGGAAAATTGCAAAGAAACAACTGAAAAGAATATTTCGCATTTCACCTAAATTGGATTTCATATAATCGGTAAATGAAAAGTAAGGTAGTGAGTAATCGAATAATATATTGCCTCGGCTGTGTTCAAATCAGTACTAAGGTTCAATCTCTATCTCTTTAGGAACAATTCTTTCATTTAAAAGCGAAACCCTGTCTGATCTACTGTATTTCCATTTCCAAGTAATTCTCTGAAGTCTTTTCATCCTAATGGCCACTGCAACTAGTCAAACTGAGTGTTGTCGCAGAAGAAGTGGTCAGCAAAATATACTCATAAATAATAGAATCAAAGGCAATGAAAATTTTTGTTTTCTAAATTGTGCACGATTTTTTGTTTTCTTTTTTTATTTTGCAAATTATAGTCATAAATTTCCATTTCCATTTAGATCAACCGTCGTCAAAATCACCAGCTTTTTTTCACCTTGATGGTGCCAAAAAAATCACCGGTGCAATATTTTCAAGTTTTAAAATATATAAAATTTTTCTATCCAGAAGTTTTAAATTAATAATAATGCGTAAAATATTATTAAGAGTATTCATTAAAAATGATTAAAATTGCTAAATAAAATGAAAATATATAATTTAAATTCGCTTTTCTCATCGCATCTGCATAAACTCCAAGGGAGAGGGCAGTTTGACGAGCGATGATTTAAATTAAATGAACTGCATCGATTGTTTAAACAAAAGAAAAAAATTTTTAAGTTGAAAACATTAGATTGAATTTTGATTTTTGAAAGCCAACTGATTATTGATGAGATTAAGAATTATTGAATTTTTAAGACACCAACTATTTATAATGAATCTTTAAATCATCTATCATCTGAGCCTCATTAAATTGTACTTTAATTGTAAATCGATCAAAATGTTTTTTTTTGGATTTTGTCAAAATTCATTCGGAAATTTTGTAAATTTTATTATTTTGTATATTTAATTACTTATTTTTGTATCGATTTTCGCTACTTGGTGTCTAATATATGGATTTAGAAGATGGAAAAGGGAAAAGAATTTCTATTAATTCCTGTCGACGATGGCATCAGATCGAGCAACTTGGAAAGGTTTTACCCTTACAACCAGTGAAGCCAGCCTGACCAGTATTGGCTAGAGCTGCTAGAAGAAAAAGAAAGAATTATTGTTCTGTTTTTGCTTTAATTGATTAAAAAACTTAATTTTAATTAATTATTCACTTAATTCATTATTTTTTTAAAAAAAATCTCTTTTACTTGGAACAAAACGATAACAAACGATTTTAAAAATGTGTTATGAAAAATGTAAACAAAAAATTTAAAATAAATTAGAGAATTAGATCAATTCATTAATTTTTGAAATTAAATGGTTCAATTATTTAATTAAATATTAATTCTTTAAATACTATATATTAATACTAATGAATTATTTAATAAATTATTTATTAAGATATTATTTATTAAGATAAATTATTTCTATATATATTACATTTCATTATTATATTAATTTTTTTTTTTTGAAGAGCATGTATGATTTCTGGTTCACCGAAGATAAATCTTACCAGAGAGCCACATGGCGGCAGATCTGATCGGCATCGGCATTATCTTGATTTTTGAAAAATTTTACATTTTTATTCTTGGTAGAACAACAACACTAGAACCCTGAAAGGAAATGAAGATAACCACCCACTGAGCCATTCTACCCTATATTCACCAATTGTTTTTATAATTCATATAATATAAACACTATAGCAAATATATTATATTATATCACATAAGTTAGACTCCTGCCCTTTCTCTCATTAACAGAGAAATGGTATGCCATCTGTAGTTCCATTCCCAGTCGTCTCTCTGTGGAAACTTTTCATTCTGATAATCAGGGGCTAGCTAAATAAGAAATAAGAAATTGGAAATTGTTAACTAATGATTAATCTTAGAAGAAGAGAAAGATATGTTCGATTCCTATAATACTGAATAAAAATTATAAACTACTTTTTGAAAAAAAAAATTATTATATTACTCAAAAATTATTCGAAATGAAAATGAAATTTTTTTTATTTTTAGAAGAGTTTGAAGATAACATCGCACATATATCGGAACAATTTTGATGGATAATCCTTTCCTTTCACTGTTCATAAATCGACTAATTGAATTTCGTTGACTTTTTGTTTATACTTGACGATTGCAAGTAATATCAGATAAAGTTTTTAATATAACAAGAGGATTTCACGATAGAATTTATCCATTTGCTCATCAAATTACAAGCAGAAAACAGAGAACGAAAATTAATCGTCAATATCTCTTCAACCTTTGGCAGAATGATGAAAATTAAACTGTTGAGCTCAGATATGTGAAAATCGCCTAATATAATAAGCCATTACAAATATGGATGCACACAAAACATTTATAAGATGAAGATTATATTCAGAATAAATAATTCGAATTTATTTTGAATTTGCAAAAGAAATTTTAAATCGAATAAATAAATCAAAGTGCGAGGGATATTGTATCGATAGAAAATGCCATGTAAATGTCCACAAAAAATCTGATTAATTAATGCATCAATTAATCAGATATATTAATAAATAAAAAAACTAAAAGAAAAAAGCGAAGAAATAAAAAAATTTCCAAACAACTAAGGCTTTTTTGGAAATTCATCGAAAAGCTCGCATATGAATTTCTGTGGATAATTTTGAATATCATTGCATTGCGCGTCAGTGAATTTCCATTTAATTATAAAAATAGCAGAATTTTCAGTATCTTATGGAATAATGAATTCAAAAATGGAAATGCCATTACCTAAATAAAATTAAAAATAAGTGGTTACCACTCGCTGGCCCAGAATAGTTTCGATTGGTGATTCGTGTTTCAAATTTTCGAGCTAAGAAAAGATAGAAGTGTAGGGGGATCGCCAGCACCACCAAGTACTTTTTAACGACAGGTTTGTTCCTGCAAAATATTGGTCCTCAACACGATAATTTGTGCAACCGCTTGATTATCCTATTTCATTCTACTTAATTAAAGCAAAAAGTAAATGCGAAACTAAGATCAAAATTGATCAATTTGGCTTTCTTCCATCAATTTCCTTTTTTTGGTTTATTTCACTTTGGCAAACAAATGAATGAAAACAATTTGAGAATGAACAAATAACAATTGGTTTGATGAATGGGCAAAAATTTGGCAGTGAAATTGGCTTTATCGCAAGAAATGATTTGGCTCAATTAGCGCAGCATGAATTAAGAATGCATAAGCAGAAATATGAAAGTTTTAGAAATTGATTGATATTGCATGAATTCCAAATGATTTAACCAAAATGATTTAATTTCGACTACTGTGGTTAAAAAGTGTTTTAAGAATCCAGCATTTTTACGTAATTCCTGCAAGTTTGAATTTGCTTTGAAGCGGTAAATTTCCACTTAAATTCGATGAAATTCATTCGGAAACAATTATTTAAACGATTTGTGGCGAAAGATTTAATGCTAAATCAATATAAGACAGTCAAACATTTCTGCAATTATCTGATTTAGAAAGTTTAAATTACCATAAATATAAATAATTGA